AATTATGATCAGTAGAAATGGCCATGACATGGGCCCTTTAATATTGTTTTAAATTAGAAAAAACACCATATTTGTATGTCTGTGTATGAAAGTAGGCCTACTAAATAGACAACACCATAATACAATAACTGTTTAACTGCAATTCAATTGAGTCTTGTGTAACAAAATAATGTTTTTTAACATGCCTCTGTTCAAGACCAGTATTAAATTAAACGTCAACTGGGTACTCAGTAGGCTATTAGAATCTGACATTGTGTAATCATTTTTGTTTGAAATTAGAGTTTTGCTCTTGAAAAAGGCATTTCAGTTCTTTTTTTCAAATTTAAATGTGTTCCTTTATAATGTTGCTGATTTCTCGTTACGTTGTCTTTTTGATTCTGTCATTAATAACATTGTGATATAACAACCTATTATAAGAATCGATGGTGCCAAAGGACAGTGTTTGGCAAAGATTCTATGAAAGGTATTTCATAATGTTTCCATTTTCATTGTTTACTAAACGATTCCACCACTGGTGTCTTTGTCAGGAGCTGGTGGCTCCAGTTAATACTGCCCAATCAGAGTCCACCTCACTTCCCAGGCCCGCCTTTGCACGGATATCATTGGTTACATTTTAATAAATAGTGGTCTTATGGGCGGAGCCTCTATCCTTACCGTGAGTTTTGTTCCAGCGGTTACATGATAGCCTGCACCTGGAAGAGCAGCCTGCCTCCTCCTCTGTCGGCCTGTCTACCGGTGAGTGAGCTACGGTACATTAGTGCATCTCTAACGTGATTTTAACCTGGTAGGCCTACAACTTGTGTTTACGGTTAATACATGTGCACTACCTCTGTGTTTATTTAAATAGCACCGTTAAGGATACACATGAGTATGAGTACTGAGCGTTTAACCCAGTTATTTCCGCTTACTTCGTCAGAGAAGGGGCACGTGCAAAAGATAAAGATTTGTATTTCACACAAAAAAGAGGTAAACGGTTTTATTTTTCATGTCGTTATGAAACGCTGGGTCGCCTCTTCCCACTTGCCTGTGTGACAAGCTGCTGTTAACATGCTAACACGGACATGTTGGACAAACAGAGTCTCTTCATGCAACATAGTTATTAAATGATAGTAATATTGTTTCTGTGCGCATATGTATGAAATGCATGAAGTACATGCATCATTACCTTTGCTCTAGAGTCTATATTGTGTGTGTGTGTGTGTGTGTGCGTGTGCGTGCGTGCGTGTGTGTGCGTGCGTGTGCGCGCGCAGCTGACCAGAGAACAGTTAGCTTTATTTATTGACTTTACTTTATGTTATGCCACATCTCCATGGACATGAACTTTAATTCCCAATTACCTCAGATCTGTTTGTTAATGTTTGGCTTGTGGAACGTGTTGTTTGTCCTTTCATGGCATGTTCACATTGAAACACTTCTTAAAAGAGTACAGACAAAAAGGCAAATTATTTGCGGAATGTATAAAATAGCTTCTTTTGTCCCCTTGTCATTGGTGCCATTACCTACATATTTTATTTGGTGAATGCAACTGTATGTTCTTCGAAAGACAGAAGTACAAAGTACAGCATGCCACTGGATATCTGATTCTAACCTGATAACCTGATCCCTCCCCAGTAATGAAAGGTTCCGTGGCCATGGAAGCCACCAGGAGAAGAGCCCAGCACGGTGCCAATGGGAAGTCCAGTGAAGAGGAGGGGCAGCCTGCACAGTGGGGGAGAGCATGGTGAGACGATGTTATGTCACAGGTTGCAATAGGCAATTTTCTTATATAATTTACTTTATCACAAGTTTATGTGGCTCAGGAGGTGGAGTGTCGTCCTCCATTGGAAGGTCGTTGGTTTGATCTCCAACCTCCGCTGTCAACATGTTGATGTGTCCTTGGGCAAGATACTTAACCTCAAATTGCTTCCAATGGCATGGACGGTGTGTGAGTGTGTTAGTCTCGCTGAGCAGGGGCCCCCTGTATGGCAGCCCCTCTCTCTGTATGAATGTGTGTGAATGGCTGAGTGCTGACTATGTAATGTATATGTAAAGCTGCTATAAGGGGTCGGAAAGACCTCAAAGCGCAATATAAATGCAGTCCATATACCATTTAAACTAGGTCTGAACAATTAATTAAACTGTACTGAAATCACAATCTACTGCAATTTTTAAATCAACTAATAACATATTCAGCTTTTTCTGCATTTTCAGCTAAATTCAGCAACAAATGTATACAGTTTATAGCATTCACACGCATTTTCTGCAGGAAATGCATTTTCTAGTTATTATTGTTGTTTTGATGTTGTAGTCTCATCTTCCAACCCTACATTTGACTCGTTCTGGTAATACTGAAACAACAAAATCATGTCACGTCTGTGTATTGTGTTTGTTCAAACGGTGTATGGCAGATGATCTGTGTATGTCTCATGTTTGTGTATATGTACATGTATGCAGAAGTGTGGGACGGAGTCCAGAACAAATTTCCTTACGGGGACTATAAAGTATATCGTATCGTATATGTCTGAATATTTTCTTTGTCTCCCAGCCCAAACTTAAATCTGTGTTCACATGTGATTCATGCTCAGGGAGGTGGACTGGTTTTCCCTGAGCAGTGTTATAGGCCTCCTCTGCTTCGCCCCTTTCATCGTCTTCTACTTTGTGATGGCCTGTGATCAGTACCAGTGCTCCGTCAGCCAGCCTCTGATTGAGTTATACCAAGGAGAGACCACCCTGCTCTCCATCTGGTCCCGAGCTCCCTCCTTCACCTGGTCAGCTGCAAAGATCTACGCCATCTGGGTGTCCTTCCAGGTAAGAAGAAGAAGAAGCACAAAAAATGAGGGCGGGAGGTGCAACTTGCATAATGTGTCCATTCCAGCTCTTGCTAAACAGGGAGGGATCTTGGCAAGTGTTAAAACAGGGTGTGTGTTCCTCCCGTAGGTGTTCCTGTATATGTGTGTTCCTGACATTACACACAAGTTTATTCCTGGCTATGTCGGTGGAGTGCAGGACGGAGCACGAACGCCTGCTGGTAATTACTTACACACTTACCCATACATAGAAGTCTATGGCCACTAACTAAATAAATCAATATTATAAAGCAGGATATTGATTAACACAATTGTATTCATTTAAAAAAAATGGTCTGTTGTAGACTGCATGCTCTCCACAATAATACAAATAAATAATCCAAAAATATTTTGCAGACTATTCTGAAGAAGGAAAATCAATATCTTTTTGGGACTCAGCTGATGTTAAATTGACCGGACTTCTTACTGCGGATTGATATGACTGCACATAGTTACTTGATCACAGCGCAATTAGCAGCAGTCTGTTATTGAAAAAGAGCAGACCTATTGTCCAAATTGACCAATCAGAATTGAGTATTCAACTAAGCCATGTAATATAATGTGTTAAATCCACTTTTACTTTAGGAAAGATTTATACAAATTTGTAACAAACAACAAAATGGTATGTTAAAATCTGATCTCCTGTGTTTTAAGGCTTGATTAACAAGTATGAGGTGAATGGGCTGCAGTGCTGGCTGATCACTCATGCTCTGTGGTACGCCAACGCCCAATACTTCCACTGGTTTTCCCCCACCATCATCTTTGACAACTGGATCCCTCTGATGTGGTGTGCTAACATACTGGGCTACGCTGTTTCCACCTATGCTTTCACAAAGGCCTACCTTTTCCCCACGTGCGCTGAAGACTGGTGAGTACTGATCACATTCAAGTTTGATTTAAAATCACAAAATACGTTTGTCTCAGGTGGCTTTGCAGTTTGTACAGAAAAAAACATAATAACATTACAACATAGAAAATCCAACTGATAAAATGCCAATGTGAATGTAAAATACAACTAAAGGGAAATCATATTAAATGAAATACAATAAAGTATAGCACCCAGGGGGATGTTCAAGGCAACCCTGAGCCAGCCCTAGCTATAGCCTACCCGTTATTTAAAATAAAATTATTGATACACATAATACACAATGATAAGGGGATGGCACCCTTGCTGCCAAGCCTAAGGGCTACTGCTACTAAATCTTAATATAAACATTAATATTTGTAATAATGTGTTAGTGAAGACTTTTAGTCTTCATTATATTCTGTACAAACTGTGAAGTCCACTGAGACAAATGTAACATTTGTGATATTGGGCTATATAAATAAACATTGATTGATATATTGACATTATTCA